CAGATATTACAAGTTACTGAATTATTTTTGGCGGCTTTGAAACGATTCATATTTTCCACATTTACTTAGAGTCCATTTCCACAGTAAACACACAGCGTCTTATGTCACTTGCAGTCTTGCTCGGAATCATTATATTGTAGAGGGAATTGAGAGGGTGAGTCTACATGTAAAAGAGTGTTAGAGAACAATGCTGCTGCACTCTCACACACACACACGCACGTGGTAACACGTCGCCGTAGTCTTAACTCCAAATTAACACCTCTTTTCACTTCACTTTACAAAAAGAGGCTGTTGCAGTAATGGCATTTAGTGATACACCTGGTTCCGTATGATTAGAGTTATATCTGTGCCACAATTGCGCCTTAACGATTGTCCTCACGTCTACAGACTTGGAGGAAGCACCGATTCAGATGTACTCTGATTGTTGCGCCGTGATCCGTCAATCTCCCCTAGTCTCCGCGGAGCCAGTGTCACGTGCGGATATCGAGTGGAGATAATCTGTCCGATACAATTAGCCAAGGCAAACTCAGCTCTGTCCAGTCGGAGCATGGACAGTTGATTCCACAAGGGTCAACGTCAGATACAATTTGCAAAACCAGTCTCACCCACGCGAAACTTTGATTACACCTGATAAGGGCCGCAGGTGAACATACAGAATCACTCAGAGTGGATCTCGCGAGATGTACTCCACGGTTTGTGATAAGGCCATCCTCAGATACAATTACCAAAACCATGATTGTTTCGGGTGATAATCCCTGATAAGGGCTGCAGGCTAAATACAAACGTTGAAAATGGATACATTTTAATTAAATTTCTAACAAATATCAGCAAATCGATTTCATCGCACACGTGGTGTCAGTTACAAGACACCTATTTTCGACAGTGGCACATGCGTTTCATCCCTTGATACGTATGTGGAAAAAAACGGTATTTGGGTGAAAAAATCCAATTGACTGAATTAACACACAAATGACATTTGTATGGCGAATTATAGAGATTATCCTGTCACGGACGGGAACGACAAACGCGGTCTAACGCCGTGATGACGTTGCAACCTGACTGCAAATCGTAAATAGTATTGATGGTACTGGTAATGGGATATGATTATTAGTCGTGAACGTAGGGACTACAATGTCAGATAGTATTTGCAAATTCAACCTATCATTATCTTGTCGTTAAATACAGATGTTATACCGTAAGGAGACTGGAACTGGAAGTCAATGAGCCCTGAATATGGATTTGTAATACGCAATGAAGTCACGTTTCCTTCGATATTCACCCCATTTGAAATTAACGTTTGGGAACCCATATGTGAACTTCAAATTATTTAAATGTTTATGTTAAAGTTGGCAATGGCAACTGCGAATACCATTTCAGGTAAAGCCATAAATCCTTATATTCCGGACCCCGTCTAACAGGAATCCCCAAATTTCAGAATTCATTTGCTTGAAAACGTTTGTAGTCAATTTCACCGCGTACCTATGCACTACCAGATGGCTAAACGAGCGTAAGACGAAATGCAATGTGTGAATTTGCTTTAAAGGCTTTCCCTTACACACAGTTCTCGTGAATACTGTAATCAGTAAGTTGCAGCCGTTTAGAGATGCGGTGAACTTCACCCACATCGATGCCAGGGTTGACCTTGGTTTCTGCCCAGCACTCCGCTCTCTGTTAACAATCCTACGGTTTTCTATGTTTGAATTAAGGGGAGAGGGTGGGTGTGACGGGGGAGGGGTTGGCATTCACTGTAAAGAGTCCTTGGGTTTCTTGATCTTGAAACACCGCCGATATGTAGTTTTATCGGGCACCTGTCGTAGTGGCTGTGGCAGTCGATGACGTGGATGTAAGCCCACTGGTAATGTTTATGTCGGCGTTTTATCGCAGCACGTGTTAGAAAGAGCCAGCAGCAGGCAGACGTCATTTTATGCAGTGACTTCAAATTACACACCGGTTTGACTGCAGACGATTCCAGTTGAGCGCGAAATTAAGTGAAATTGCAAATTTGCAATGATGTTTGCTCTTTGAAGGAAAAATGGGACATATTTTGGAGCGTATTTTTACGAGAGTTTCTGGACGCAATACAGACGTCTACCACAGAGCGAGACGCCAGTGTAGTCTGGAAAGCCCGACTTTCCGATGACGTTGCTGGTCTCGTCACAACTTAAGGGACGTTACTGAATAATAATAACAAAAATAATCATGACAATCATCACCACCATGAACAATTATGGGTAAACGATCATAAAACCATAAAATTGTACCTAATCATTCTATAATACTAACAACAAACCAATTGTGGCTCAATATTCGTTTCCGTTCTGTCAGCAAAATACAAGCATTTCCAAAATACAAGATCTTTTTCAATCGTGATTAATATATTTTCGTCCTTACAATTTCCAGGTCTTAAACAATATATGATATCAGTTGTCAGTCACATACCGCCATTATCTCAATCTTAACGATACATGTCTGAGATGAAGCGTATCCCAATAGTCATACAAATACACGTCGGCATTAAACGCTTCAGAGGAGGAGGGATGTTCAAGTACTTGGTGCCTGGTTTCACTTCAAGCATGTGAAGTCTAGGACAGACTTGTAAGCCAAAGCTGTATATCGTTCCATCGGTTACTATGACTACAGCCTGCGGACTCCTGCCGCATGTCAGATTAACAACATCCAACAAAATCTGCAAAAACCACCACTACCGAACAGTAGTGAGCGGTAATAACCGTACTTTGAAGCCTATCAACCTGTTTCGCCACCAATCTAATTCTAACATGTGCTTAAGTAGGTCATTCCGGGCGCTACTAAAATATACTGTTTCAAAGGCTTTGTCCAGTAGAAGTGGGCAGATCCATTCCATTCCCACGTCCCCCTTCCGCATCCCCTCTCTCGTCCAGATTGGGGGCGGTGGGGCAGCCTAGTAATTAAACCGTTCGCTCGTCACGCCGAAGGCCCGGGTTCGATTCCCCACATGGGTAGAATGTGTGATGCCCTTTTCTGGTCTCCCCTGCCGTGATATTGCTGGAATATTGCTAAAAGCGGCGTGAAACCAAACTCAGTCAGTCTCTTCCTGATTATGTTTTCTATCTGTTACTTTCTCAGTTTCATCTAAAGAGTTTATTTAGTGCACAATACGATGTCCTTCGTACCATCGAGTTAACCGTACTTGGCACCAACGGGTCAACACGTGTGACGATATTACACGAGCAAGTTGGCCGATGCCGACTGTTACTTCACCTTGACGAGGTTGAATAGAAGATATTACCTGAAACTATTTATGCACTACATACGAATGGTGAATGAATATTTCTGATTGCATCTGAGATGGACTTTGGCGATGGAATTTATTGGTAACTGTTTTCAACCCCTCCGAGGTCCGCCCATACATGGACACTACTGAAGTAGGTTTTCTATTGAAAATACCCTCACCACCATTTGCAAAATGCTTGACAATTGTTTGTTCCGAATTTGGGAAGATGTTGAAATCTGACGGTGCCAAATCTGATGAATACGGTAAACGAGTTCTTAGCCACTGTCATGCAGTGCAGCCATGTTGGCTACAGACTTGTGCACTGTTGGACTGGCATGGTGTAACACGAGGTTCTGACAACTCAACACCGAGTTGCTATAAGAGGAATAGTTATTGTTATCAGTCTTACTGACTCTGGATTTCATTCATTTAATGGATCCCCGGGAAGACAACGACTCGATATATCAGATGTATTTATGTATAATTGTTCTCGTAATCCACTGAAGTTTCAATTTTTATGATAAAAAAAATGATATTTAATGTTGATTAAACCATTGAAAAATGGTATAAAACCTACTATAAAAGAGAGTCTTTCATTTTGTGCATTCTTAACCAATCAAAAGGAACACGAGTTTTTTACTAAAACTGAGACAAAGGAAGTGGGAGATGGGAAGGAAGCCTTAGAACAGGAGGGGATAGTACTCAGCATTCGGAAACCTTTAAAAATGGTGAAAGGGATGCACATAACAGGGCAGCACTAAAAACAATTATGTGTAGACATATTTGGACAATGTACGTTGATTAGTTGTATTACTAATATTCTTTTAGAGCGTGATTATTGCGGGTGGGGTGTGCACATTGCACTTCCTATCTGCGTTTGTGGTTAACACCCACAGTGGGTGTGATATATGAATAGTGTCCCTTAGTTCCATGTAAACATATTTCTGAAGAAGAGTTGACACAAGTCCCGACAGTTCTCACAATTACATCCCATGATATATAGTTTTCTTAACAGTAGTGAAAGCGGCTTGAAACATCATACATTTACTCACTCACTCTCTCCTTGTTAACGACATGTTTGTCGTATCTGTATCCACGTCCCCAGATAACGACTCTAAACCAGGAACTTATTTAGTTATTAGAGCTAATAGGGCGGAATAGAATTGTTTCATATTGTCACAGCCTTCATAATGGACGCGAGCCTGCAACTCGCATACCAGCATCAAACGATACAATTACCCGTTCGCTTCATCACTTGGTACAAACACGGTGCATTACTGCTGGCTACAGCTCGGTGTTTCATGGAATGTCTGGTCGGGGCACTGTCACCCATATATCAACACCACGATCGATAACTTGCACAACAGTCAATCCAGTTATGCGTATAGACGCCCATCCATCTTCGTTCTGCAACGCTCTGTGGTGAGGTAGTTTAGAACGATCTAAGGGAGATAACCTCTACAAACGAGTTTCAACATTCTAAGAACGATTGTCTCCCTTACGTTTTGATTAGATTTGTTGCTCAGCTTGACGTAACATGTTCATTATTTCAAACGTGATTTTTTTACATCTGTATTCTGATTAGGGGTGTTTTTAACCTAATTAGTTATTACTGGTTTGGCATTAAACGACGCTGAAATGCCAAGTTCTTTCAAACATTTCACATCGGAAGTAAGATCATTTTTCAATGAAAATATCGTTTTGCCAACATTGTAGCAGAAACATTGACAATCATTTTCTTTTTCAGATACCTGAAGTCGGTATGAACAAATATGGCTACAATTATTTGCTTGGCTCTTTGGTGAGTGGATTATCTTCTCGTGTCATTCACTGAGTTCTCGATAGCATATGCAAATATGTCACTCTTGAGATCTACTTAAAACAAGTAAGGGTGGAGGGGTAGCCTGGTGGTTAAAGCGTTCGCTCGTCATGCCGACCACCCGGGTTCGATTCCTCACATGGGTACAATGTATGAAGCCCATTTCTGGTGTCCCCCGCTGAAATACGTATGGAATAAGTGACGTAAAACCATATTCAATTTACGATTTTAAAATCTGCTATTGATCTAACGCAGAAAACGTAACTTTACGCTGATCAGTGTGTAAAAGCTCTCCACGCGGCAAGTTATCGAAATATGTATGTCTGGCAACAGTGAGGGACAAAGTCTGCCTTTTTATAAGCTTGTGTGATGAGAGAATGGACTTCTCCGTTATATAGTCTTTATCCCACCAACAATACAACAAACAAGTCTGGATTTAGACCCTGGAAGTGTTGCTTTTGGTCAATTCCTTTTTAATCACCGAAAATTATTCAACAGGGGTAATGTTAAAGTATTTGTTTAGTTGCAATACAAGTGACAGACAAAATATTAAGTGATACCTGATAACAAAACATATTACCACACTATATACACGTTTCTAACTTATCAACTTTTCGTCTATATGTAAAAAATGTCTCTTTTCAGGATTTCAAAAATTTAAATTTGACACGCTACCGCCACGGTGGAGTCAACGTCACGGGATTTCAACTTCTCGACGAGAAAAACGAGATTAGCCGAGGTTTTCTGGAGGCCCTGGGCATGACCCCCGGGCGCTTTTCCTCCCCTAAGGATTACCAGTCCGTCCCCGTGAGTCAATACACCTCGTGATGCACCAGGGACCCTGGTAGCGCTACTACTATCTAAAGTTTAAGTTAGAATATGCGAGTTTCGATCATCATTACACTAAGATCGCTTTGTGCATATGGGCCCAGTTCACAAATGTTACGAAGTTACACTTTCACAACATTCCTGAAAGTTACTATGAAGAATTCGTGGAGTTTCACAACATTCCTGTCATAAGCATTCACAAGATTCCTGAAAGTTACTCCTCGAAGAATTCAGTGGAGCATTAGATCAAAGTATTGGTGTCCACTTCTTGTCATAAGCCCCGAGGTAGACTTGATGACAAGGGGATACCAGGTTGTGTGTCTTCGTGCACCGACAGAGTGGACAGCTGCTCATGCTATTAACCACTATTTGTTTTGGCAGTTACCTGATACCTGACGGTACGCGATATACATGGATATACATACATATATTCTCACTATTACCTAGACTCATGTCGTCTAAACACTCTATGAATGTATCGTGGTCTTCAATACTGTTATCCATGTTCAGGTCCGTGCGGCCCTGTTGGTGGATGCAGTGTATCTGCTGGGCCAGGCCATCTACAGCATGATGCAGAACGACAGCGAGGTGTTCCGCTACAACTTCAGGCGAGGAGACCTGTACACCTACAACGACACTAAAGGGATACCCTGTGATAAAAACCCGCCAGTACCCTGGATGCACGGGGAGGAAATTCTACACAGAATAAAACAGGTAAAACGTGGGAGTTTCTGTCTGCATGCGTCCGTCTGCACGTGCATTGTTCAATCTATTCCAGCTACATGACGGCAGGATGTAAATAAATGAATCTGGTCAGGCCAAACTAGTGATGGATATTATGAGCAAACATCCACATTATGGGAAGACAACGACCATGACCACCCCGTCAACTTGGTCATATCGACCCTCATAGTTTACTGAAGACGATTTCCAGTCCACAAGGGGAATATTGTTTCCAGTCGTATTTCGTCTTTATCGCGTAAAGCGACCAGTGAAATCTAATATTTTCATAAGAGGTCAATTATCTATAAATCAATTATCCGTTTTGCTAATATTTCTTTATAATCAACCCTGAAAACAACCGAGAATTTACGTCCACTGATTACCCCAACCCGATCTTAAATGGGACGGGGCGGTGGGGTAGCCTAGTGGTTAAAGGGTTGGCTCGTCATGCCGAAGACCCGGGTTCGAATCCCCACATGGGTACAATGTGTGAAGCCCATTTCTGGTGTCCCCCGCCGTGATGTTGCTGGAATATTGCTAAAAGCGGCGTAAAACCAAACTCAGTCATTCAGTTAAATGGGACACTGGTGGCTCGACGGTCTATTGTAACCAACTAAACTGCAAGGATGCACTGGTGGTCGGTTCGATTCCCAAATTCTTCTTGATTTCGAACGAGAAAAGGAATTTATGATTTACAAATGGCCGATGTATCTAAATGGAGAATGAAGTTGTCCTGTAAGGTGTGGCATTGCTACAATCGGTCATGGCTTTATATAATATATGGCACCTGTTTACAGATGCAGCCAACAGGTCTGTCCGGCGTACTGTCCTTCGACAGGAAGGGCTTCAGGCAGGACTACAGTCTCGGAGTATACTCCGTCAGTCTGGACAATGGTCCCTCCAAGGTAAAAATTATATTCTCTGCTCATAAAGATATGTAGGAGAACCTATTGAAAGTTGCAGTAGTGTATCTAGTAACCATGGATACTGGCCTGCCAAATGTAGCAATGGTGTATTCATTTGCCCTGGATACTGGGTTAAAAAGAGCATTGTACGATCGCTTGGTGCATGACTGAAATAAATATCAAAATTATTTGAAGGGATTACTGATTAATTTGTTAAAAGTTAAACTGAAACATGAAATATTCAACATTAAAAGTATGAAACCAAGAGACTGAAAACCCCGATTGACACAAGCTGACAGATGGTCCTCAGCCATGCCACCAAAACTCTCGCAATATTTAAACTAGTCTTAGCGCTAAGATCGCTTTGCTTAAGGGAGCCCTGGGCATCGAATCTCTGTACGCTCCATAACGATTTTATTCCAACATGTCGGCCTGTGAAGAATGTATTTCAGTTTGTAATTTCACTTACTATAATTACCATGTCTCACATACACACTGATTCGTTACTGTCACTTGTCACTTGCAGATCGGCACCTGGTACAGCAGCGAGCGGGGGTTCGAGAGCGAGGAGCACGACACACTCCATCTACCAGATATACAGTATTTAGACAGGGGAGCTAACTCCACCAAGATTATAACGTCGATACTGGTAATATAATTCACTTTGCCTTCTTATCACACATCATATACAACCGCCTCAAAAACTTGCCGTAATATTTCCATATCCGACAGACACTTTGGGGGGATATATGTACCAAAGGCAAATTTAATATTGCCAAAAGCTTATATGCAATGATGTGATTTTAGGAGCATGGACAATTTGCTGAACATGGGCCTCACACTTTCACTAAAAACGTTCCATTTTCATTTTCATGTGGAATTAGTTTTTTTGCAATATTGTAAAATTCTAAATGTGAAATGATTTCCGGTCTCTAAGTAAATATGCATTAAAACGCCAACCCTGAATATTTATTAATGTAATTAAAGTTAGCTGAATGACCAGTTTAAAGCCATGTTGATATATAAACTGAGGCCCAGATACCGAGTTTTTCTGTGTTGGGGTGAGTGTGTCACTGAAAAATCTGAAGGACCTGTATATTGTTAAATTGGATGTTATATCTGTTTAATTTTCACTCATTCCTGCAAGTTTGCTAAAAGTGATAAACTGGTGGGTAAATTTGTGTAGCAATAAATTGATTCAGTGAACACTGGGGTAAGCTTTGAAGTACAACCATGGTTTAGATGTTGTCAATGTGCCAGAAAATGAAACAATATGAAGGAAGGCGTTTCCTATTCTCGCGGTACTTACGGATATCGGCTGAAAAAATAACACAAACATCGTATTCATGCTTGTTGTTTTTAAATGAAGGGCCTTCTCCTCTAACATCTAAATCTATCAGCTGCCAGATCCATCAGGTGAATTACCACTCGTGAGCCCGGTGATAAACAATGCCATCCGCCATTGACGAAACGAGGCTTCTCCCATTCTCGCGGTATTACCAGGAATTAACGTTATTGAGTGTATGTAAGAGCAATCCTGCCGGAAAAGGCGGGAAAAAGTAATGACATGTCCAAGTTGGTATAAACTCCACAATATTCGTGACACTGCAAGATTTTGATCACTTACAGTCTTGGTCCACTTCCTAGTTACCAGTAGGTGATGTAAACAACCGGTAAGTGTCGCGCATCGGCGATTTCGGCAGAAAACGTGTTTACCGCGAGAATAGGAAACCCGTGAGAATGGTAGACGGGCCTATACTAAGATACGATGATTAAAATACCGGTCAGTTCTTGTTTAGTATGCGATAATAATATTTTGAAAGGTATTAAAACACAGTAGCAGTAGAGATGATCAAGCACCAGTACAGTCAACTGAATATATGTTCGGGTACGGATCAAGCAAACATAACATAAGATAAACTGAGAGGTGGTTTCTTTGGCTCCTCTTTGATTAAGATCGTTATCACTGATTAGTTACGTATCAGCATGTCGATTGAGGTCATATTTTTCGTTCAGTTCATCCTGGATATTCAGTTGAGTATTGACAGTGTATGAAATAAGGCCCGTCGACCGCTTTTAGATAAGATGTTCCATCAGGGGCGGATACAGCTTTTTGAGAAAGGGGAGATGCACAATATTGAGAAAAGGAGGGGTGCACATTTCATTTTCACCCGAGTTTCAATGGTCATTTAACAAACTTTCAGCACCAAAGGGGTGCGCACCCTGCACCCCCACCCCACCCCCTCTGGATCCGACCATACATCTGAGTAAATGTCCCCCATATCTTAAGATCTATTCTCTGAAAACTACTGTTGTGAATAGACTGATCGACAGTAAATACACGATACAGGTTCATTAAATTATTCATTGTTACTACAAATTCTGATGTCTGTCTTGGGCTTTGGCTTATCTTATACACTGGTGTTGACTAATGTATTATTGTCGCTTCACTGTGGTATGAATTGAACACCGTATGAATTGAAAACCGTATGAACACGCGTAGATTTTTATGTATTCAGCTTTTCACACTGACGTGGGTGTTGTCGTGGTCTCACAGAGGGGTCATACAGCTGTAGTTTACCCCGTTGTAAAAATACTAGCCAGCACACAAAGGACACTCCTTTATTGTTATCGGTTGTTTTTGAGTATGATATGATTTAAAACTTGATTTAAGACTTAATTCATTAAAAATCCGTTTAAGCCCAAGTCTTCATTGACCAATGTTTCTTATACAGATGATTTTTAAAAACTCTTGCACAGATAAGTGCTGGCTAAGCAAACATGGTCACACTGAACAACATTCATTCAAGTTTCGTTTGTATACTACCCATCAAAAGTTTAGACTCACTAGTGTAACTGTAGCCACTTACTTCAGTCAACTGTTCTAAACTAGAACTTTTGCAAAATATTCCATACTGGTACTCTTTACACATGAACTGATGTATTGTAAAAGAAATTCGTAACGTTGAAAAGATTACTGTCATGAGATCAATAAATGATGAAACTGGGCGAACTCTTAACAAATCTTTACACCAAAACGCAGCAGTTCACATGCACGATATTTGTACATGCATTTCAGAAAATTGATGCATGATCCTCGAGCAATTCATCTGCATAAGGTTTGCAGTTGGTTCCCCCAAGTTAGTGGACAAATTCATCTTCGATGTAACCATACATATACACACATAACATAGTGAGCGTTTTAAGTGAGTCTAAACTTTTGATGAGTAGTATATAAGAAGCAAACTCGGTATAGTTTCTTTTGCCCAACATTTTATATAAAAATACGTTTTTTGTCTTATTTCTCGTACGGGTGTGTTCCAAAAGCATTAAAACATGAAAACAAACGTTTGTTTCAGTTTGTTCATAGATAATTGGATAGATTGGTATATCGGATTGTTAGTCAGACTGTTTACGTTCTATGGCGATTGTCCAGCTCTCTCTACAGGAGCTGAAGTGATTATTTACTGTTGACCGTTAGTGTGGGCTTTCAGGTAGATCCTTTCTTGATGTGGGCCAAGGAAGACGCTGGAAGACCAAAGCTTGGAAATGACAGGTTTCAGGGTAATACTTATACACAAAGTAGCTATTCTTGAGCGGAGTCTCCACACAGTTGAACGCTCTTGTGTCGAATTCTGATTGATTGAGAATACGTTTTCGGCTAATCCGAAATGTAGGCACATTTAACACTGATGGAAATGTTCAGTTATTCTGATCAAGGCGACCCTTCCATATGCAATGTTATTGAGACAAAAAGGCAAGCTGGAGATATCCGTCAACACCATATCAGAGATAAGTTATGGCTTAAACTGAAGAGATGTGCAGGGAGAGGACAATCAGTTCGAAAAATTATAACATTTGTAGTTCGACACGAGGGTGTTGCTGTTTTCTATTTCATGATAAATGATTTCAAGGCTTTTATTGCATTCAGGCCATATTCGGGATATAGAGTTATCAATTATATCAACACGAGTTGATAAATCTCACTTCGTTTATACCTAGTTGTTTTGAATAAAGGGCATGCTTAGCATACCACATCGCTTCAGGAAGGATTTGCCAACATTTAAGTGTTCTTGCGTTTGGTATTTCTCTCATTCTGAGATCGTCTGTGTTTGTTCCTTGTTGCTAGGTTACGCCGCTGACCTGTCCTACGCTATGTCTGTGAAGGTGGGCTTCGACTTCGCCATTAAGCTGGTGGACGATGGAGCCTATGGGTTGAAGGACAACAGCACCAACACCTGGAACGGGATGATTGGAGAACTCACTCGAAACGTCAGAAGACATCACAATGGCACATTGCCATAACTTGTTATATTAATTTATTTGGTATTATCTAAATATTAATGCTTAGACATATCTTTATAACTGAATTTGCCTTTATTGGTGACATTATTACTAATTCACAAACCCACACAGTTCTGATCAGCCCAAAACTGCATTGGAGATTTCACTATCAACTCACAACCCACCACACCTACAGTAGTGGTCATCTCACTATCAACTCACAACCCACCACACCTTCAGCTGTTGTCATCTCACTATCAACTCACAACCCACCACACCTACAGCTGTTGTCATCTCACTATCAACTCACAACCCACCACACCTACAGCTGTTGTCATCTCACTATCAACTCACAAACCACCACACCTACAGCTGTTGTCATCTCACTATCAACTCACAAATCATCACACCTACAGCTGTTGCCATCTCACTACCAACTCACAAACCACCACAGAGATAGTTGGGATCAACGCTAACCTGCGTTGGTGATTTCCTAATGGAATGTAAAAACAGAGATTCCAGTGGGTGTTAAAGTCGGAAAATGATTTAGTGATGAAAATAATGCACAGCGTGTTTAAGAGACACGCATTGTATCCCTTGGCATCATCAATAATCACCAGGGTATCTCCACACTAGTAGAGATTATCGGAAGGTATACCCTGGAGATTATCGAGGATACCTGATGAGCAGGTGATGTCAAGTAAAGAGAGAACATGTTAACAGTTACCGCATCAAGCCTATTTTCTATTCACATCACAACCAAACCAGCATTAGCATTTAATTGGGGGATAGAAATACCATTTTGTCACGCTATTAAACGGTCGATCCCTCAGAAAACTTGTATTTTGTTTCTCAGGAAGCTGATATGGCAATAGCTCCACTGACAATCACAGCTGATCGAGAACGTTTTGTGGACTTCTCCAAACCTTTCATGAACTTCGGCATCAGCATCATGATCAAGAAGCCGGACAAACAGAAGCCGGGTGTGTTCTCCTTCATGCAGCCCCTGCGCCTGGAGATCTGGGTGTGCATCACAGTGGCCTACATCGGGGTCAGTGTGGGGCTATTCCTGGTTAGTAGGTTCAGCCCACTCGAGTGGAAGAAGGGCCCCGATGCCACAGAGGAGGAGCTAGCCAACGAATTCTCCTTACTCAACTCATTCTGGTTCTCCATGGGTGCGCTTATGTTCCAAGGAAGCGACTCCTGTCCGAGGTGAGTTCACATCGTTCGAGTTTAACGGGTTATTCCGCTGCGTGCATATACATTATAGGCGTTAAAGACCATTTCCATATTTGCCTATTCAATCGCCAACACTCGCGATTTTCCGTACGATGAAGGAAGCCGTCCCTGCTATCAATGTTTTGTGTGGAAACACGACTTTGCAAAACAGTGCTTTCGACTTCCCAAGAATGAAACGAGTTGGTTACGAATATAGTAGTTAACTCCAGAATGACACAGGCGGTGGCGAATGTACCCGCAGGAATATGAACTAAATTTAGTTCAGATCATCGACCCAAAACACAAAGGAATCCATTCTACGTGTTTGTGTTCAGCGTTCAATGATCTGTTTACAAATGGCATAACGGTATACGATTGTGCATTGTGAGGACATCTATTTATGTGATGTATCTACTCAAGACCATTCCAGGAATAGGCTGAGGGAAGCTTCACGGTTTGGTCCGGTAGGGTGCCAATCTCAAGTCTTGATCTGGAGTTGTAATAGTTGCAGTGCCACGTTGGAGGGCGAGACGTGGGTTAATGCTTAGTCTCTACGTATCTTATATTATATAGAGAGAATTTTGATAGAAACTAACGATACCTATTAAATTGAAAATGGGCCCTAGTGAGATAGGAGATTCAGAACGTGAGGAAATCTGGACTAGATTCATTTTGGGCTTTAGAAGGGAAAGTAATGCGGTTCAGGGACTGTGAGGCAGACTAGTCGAAACGGTTTGCCTATGCAATTGGTGTTAATTGCTAGACTGATGGTACGTAATCTGGAGACTTGTGAACTGACTGAAACATGCCAATTTTGGGGCTCCTAGCAATTGATACAATATCTTAAAGGGGGTCGTTTGTGTTGCGCCACTCATGATCATTTAATACGACACCAGTTTAAAAGGAGAAAATACATACGCATATATTATAATTAGTATTGATCTGCATGCCTTATCCCAGACAGTTGATAAAGTTTCTCTTCTAAAAAAGCATAATGATTTTGTGCGCCGATTACTGAGAAAGTGTTGTTCCAAATATACCAGTTGTTACATTTGTCCATTTTCTAAAAGGCATGGTTTACTCACAGCTTTCGGCCATTGGAGCCATGGAGAGGGGTACACAAATAATTTAACGTGGTGTAGACTAAGACTTGTTGGACGATTTTGTGGAAATCTCGGTGGCTGAGTGGGCTAGATCGCTGAGTTTCTGTGCTGGCGATTTGGTGCCTTACTGGTGTGGGTTCGGATCCCAAATGGGACTCAAGAACAAGAAATCGTAGTTACTGGGAAATTGTAATCCCAAATATAGCATTTGTTACATTCACTTCCAAGTAGGCACGGCGTATTCATAGATATAACCTTACTCCGGAACTACAATAGCAACATCTAACTGAAGGAGTTTGAGTTTTAATATATAATTTTCAATGAAGTAAATATTAAGGTATCTTGTGTTTTCAAAACTTTACAGTTCATCAAAGTATTGTTTTTACCGAGAACATCAATTCAACTGAATTTCCATTCAAGATGATAGATATTGTAGCTGATATGTAAAACCATTCTTCATTTTCCTCTGAATGTTTTCTCGTCCTCAGTAGTTGCTTCTGTTTCAGGTCGGTGTCAGGTCGTATAATAGGTGGCGTGTGGTGGTTTTTCGTCCTCATAATCATATCCTCCTATACTGCCAACCTGGCTGCCTTCCTCACTATAGAGCGGATGTTTACACCTATAGAGTCGGCAGACGACCTTGCGAAGCAGACGGCAATCAAATATGGAACAATTGATTCAGGAACATCGTTACTATTTTTCAAAGTGAGTCACGTTCACAAGTACCTAAAACCTTAATGGTATCGTGTTTCTACAGAGCAGCTATTACTGGACCAAACATCCGGAAGCTCAAAGTTGAAGCAAATGGTTCCGTTAATGGTTGGCCAATCAAAGCTCTCACTGTACAGCAATCGATAAGCATGTATGGCAAGGGCAGGTGATACCAGACAAAAGAGGCGAGGGACATCCAGTAGGACTGTATTAACGACACAGCACCTCTAGGTCAGCCAGGGGATACAACTTCAAAAAAGCCTTCAGAATGGTATTTGTTGTTATCTTGTCTTTCCATACAACAAGGACTACTCGGCTCAGTATCAGAATCTGTGCGGATTCCATTTTAAACTCCGGTATGGTATAGATTTGACTAGTGGTACTAAACCAGCATTGGTCTCGACTAGTACTACAAGCAGACACACGCACACGCACACGCACACGCACACGCACACTCACTCACTCACCGCTCTGTGCATGCTCGAATCGCCATACACTCGCTATTGGTCGCCTATAATCGAAATATGTTTTCTTAAGCAAAAAAGCGAAAACCGAAAAAGATATTAACGATATCATTAAGAACGTGATCGAGCCAACCTAAACATTAACAAACCCACTTTGTTTAGCATGATTTCTAATACAAATAATAATTACTGTCCGGTCATGCGGCGTTTTCTTTAAAAATATGCTGTAAAACCACATATGCAACTGTGCACCAAGAATACATACATCTCAATACCTGTGAAGATCCTGGTTAGAATTGGTCTTCAGCAACCCATGCTTGTCGTAAGAGGCGACTAAAAGGATCGGGTGGTCGGGTGTATCCCAGTTGCACCTTCAAATAATGACCTTCCTACAACCAAACACTTCCTCAGAATATCTATAGGTCAGGTTTAACAATCTCTCTCTAACAATGTATCTTTTTCCTCAACTCCTGCAAGAACTCCGAGGTACCCACGTATAAACAGATGTGGAACTTTATGAGCGCTAACCCGGATGTGTTCGTCAAGTCGGCAGCAGAGGGCGTTGCCAAGGTCAGGGACTCTAAGGGCAAGTACGCGTTCCTATTGGAATCCTGCTTCAACGAATACGAAAACAACCGGAAGCCGTGCGATACCTTGAAGGTGGGCCCCAAACTCAACTCAAAGGGTTTCGGTGTGTTGCTACGCCAAGGGGCTCGGAATTAAGGTAATTTGATACTTTGAAAATCATATTGTTAAATGATATACATATTCCGTAAGAGTTCAAATGTAGCGATTGTCAGCCATTAAGTTATTTGATGACGTGCTGGTTGAAACCTATACACAAGAGGAAGCATTGTGCTTCACATGGAGTATATTGTAACAAATCATCTATTTGTAGCGCATTTTCACCTTAAATCACAACAAATCCATATTGCTGCTACTGTGTCGCAACCTCATACTCTCAGCAGTTGATACAAATATCCAAATGGAGCCCTCTGTAAGTCTAGGTGCACTTATTCCCAAATGAGTAAGTATTGATATGTTCCATAGGGCAGTATCCAATTCCTATATGTGACTTCAGTCAATCTGTTATTCCATGGCAAGGGTGTCTTGAGTCAAAGACAGAAGTATCGTGTGTGCATACCAGACGATTCCATATACAATATGAATACTTACATGGATTGTTCATGTATTTAAGAAGCTTTGCTCGGCCTGCTGTTGACTTAGGAGAGCTTGTGTTTTAATCAGGCCCTTCAGTATGTTTGCCTACATTTCCCCAGAATTATTCAAGTAGGAAATAACACCTACAAAACATTTGATTACATAAGGCCATTTAGAAAGGTCAAATGTAACATGTGTTATATTTGGGGTTCTAGTTCTTCTAGTACAAATTCTAGTACCTTTTTTAGTTGAGCCCCATCTGGGATTCGAACTCACACCCTCAGAGTCAGGCACATAACCGCCAGCACACAGTCAGCCGCCTAACCCGCTCAGCTACCGCGACTTCCACTTCCACTGTTACATTTTACCACTTTCTAAATGGCATTGTGTAATCATAGCTTTCGGCCGTGGGAGCCGTGCCAATTAACATCTATCAGAGGGGTACACAAAGCCCGCAGTCTAGACTACCAGTTGTCCGACATCCATTTTGTGGAAGTCGCAGTGGGTGAGCGGGTTAGGCGGCTGACTTTGTGTGCTGGCGATTAGGTGCCTGACTCTGAGGGTGTGAGTTCGAATCCCGGATAGGGCTCAACTCAAAAAAGTACTAGAATTTGTACTTTATTAAGAAAGTGTAATCCCAAATATAACATATGTTACAAAACATTTAGCAATTATTTATTATTCATTGGGACATTGTCATGTTTGATGGTCAATTGTTTTTGTATTACAAAATACATACATACTATTTATAATTACATACAGAATTTATTAACTTGAACATTTAATAACCGACAAAGATAGGAAGGAATAACTGAATCAAATGGCACGGGAAGTGACTACTTTGCCTTACGCTCTCGCAGATTTGCTGAAAATATTCCTCTTCTTTAAGTCTGTTGGCTTGGGAGGACAATATTTTGTTTTGGAGAAGGTCATATGACCCTTTCGCAATCAATACAAATACAGATGAAATAATACATGTTACCCTACTGAGGAGCCATGAGGCGGAAACGACCAAATAAAACGTAAAAGTTAACTAAAATAGAACGATCCACAGAAACCAATGACTGTCTGATGTGTGTTTCTTTATTTCAGTATGTCAGGCCGCGCGGCCAATAACACAGTTGCATTTCAAGAATTAACCCATCTCGTGGTTTTAACTTTTGTCATAAAGAAAATACAGTTACTGATATACTTATACACTTATATTTGTAGAATTTTAAAGTTATTAAAGTATAGTTGTTGCAACGTTCAAGTGATAGCCAGGGGAGATAATTCTGGTTTTGTAGTTCTGCGCAGTGAATACTTGATATTCACCTTTAATTCAAGGAGATCACAATAGAACAGACAAACATACCTTTCTTCGTGTAGATATTCCAGTATTTCGTAATAAGTTTACCTTCTAAATCACGAATCTATACCGAAAATCTACAAGAACACATCATTAGCGATTACCAAAGATATTTGCAATATAAAATTCTTGTTGAAGTGAAGATTTTGATTTCAAACCAGATTAATGCCCTTGTTATTTTGAAGAGGAGGTGCATTCGGTCCATTCTCTTTCACTGACAATTTCATTGACAGAGACAAGATCACTCTGGCCGTTTTAACTCTGCGAGAAGATGGAACTCTCCACACACTACAGAACAAATGGTGGTTTGAGAAAGGCCAGTGTGGAATAGACGGGGGATCAAAGGTCAGAAGACATAGCTCTCGGTTAAACATTGTACACTCTCCCCGTTAAATGTACGTATGGTATATAAAAGCAAGCCGAGGTCAATACATAATCAAAGTTTATAAACCCTTTAAGGTGTCTTCCACTTCAATAACACTGTTGATATATACTTTTATGACCGAGGCATTATTTCATACAATTTTAATATGTTCGAATTTGGTCTGTGCTCGGGGGGTTCATTGTCTTGTCTTCATATGTTCTTCGTCGTGGGTTTGTTTGTTGGTTGGTTGGTTCGTTGTTTGTTTTTCTTTGGGCAAGGCCATAGTTGTCACAGCATTAGCTGTATGAATCGTATTCCTTGTGTACTATTGCTATACCTTACCTGGAGTAAACAGACTCACACTCGTGTAAAAAAGGCCCCCGTGAAGATCCGGGGTAGAATAGGTCTTCACCAACCCATGCTTACCGTACAAGGCGACTATGCTTGTCATAAGAGGCGACTAACGGGATCGGGTAGTCAGGCTCGCTGACTTGGTTGACACATGTCATCGGTTCCCAATTGCGCAGATCGATGCTCATGCTGTTGATCACTGGATTGTCTGGTCCAGACTCGATTATTTACAGACCGCCGCCATATAGCTGGAATAATGCTGAGTGCGGCGTAAAACTAAACTCACTCACTCATGTAAAAAGGCACAGTTTGTCAACGATCTTATTTTCTCTCGCAGGACTCCGGGAAGCGGTCTTTGTCGCTAAGCAACGTTGCGGGTGTGTTCTACATTCTCGTCGGTGGTCTGGTGTTTGCAATCATTCTGGGAGTGTTTGAGTTTATGTGTTTTAGAGCGAAAAATCCAAAGGTACAGTTATAACTTCAAACATCAACACTATTTTTGAGTTCGCCATATTTGGTTGAGGGCTCATGTTAAAAGAGATAATGGCTCGAGTGTATCAACATTGTTTTCATGGCACGTGGTACGCTTCACTTCCTGCGACCATTTATCAGAATGTTTAACTGAAATAATTTATATTAATGGAAGAAGTGGATTCAGGTACCTACTATACGATTACAGTTTTAATGTTTTGATGGAAAAAAATTTAACATGCAGAATAAATTTAAGTAAATTTAAGAATTACATTACAGAGGACTTCATCATGTGCTCAAGTCATATGTTCTTGAAGTAGTAAACATCTGTTCCAAGAAAACCCCTTCCCGGTTAAGTTTGTAAGTCACACACCACTAATTCACCCAATTCACCTTCTTATCCATCAACTCACACACCCACTCACTCACGCACAAACTCACCTAACACACCCACTAACTCACGCACAAACTCACCAAACACACCCACTCACTCACGCACAAACTCACCTAACACACCTACAAACTCACTTTACCCAACCACTCACCTTCTCACCTCACCCACCCACTCACTTACAAACTCACCTTCTCACCAACTCACTCAACCGCTCTTCACAGGCTGCGTGCTCGCCATCTCAAGCAACGTACCTAAGGGGGACGGAGACAGCGACGACACTGTGTACTCCGAACGACAGAGAAGACGGCAATCTACCGTATGATTATCAAAATGAGAAAAATTTAGCAGAGGTACACGTAAGTTAGTTTGGTTTTCTTCTCTGACGTAAACTGGGATTACACACCACCCCTAGTGTCAGCTGCCATCAACGTACCCCAACAGACCTACCGGTGTTGGAAACGTCACATCACAAAATAACTTTGAACCAATTACATTTGTTTTGATTCAGCTCAAACTTCATAAAACATAAACACATTAAGATAAAAATATGCTAAGAAATGATTAATGGTATGAAATTATTAAAAGAAATCTCCCCTTTGCGAGTTCTACGCGACGGACAACGCCCTAACCTGGGCATTGGACATGTATCACGGGATATTGAGTCAAATCTGGAGTCGAGTACGGTGATCTGATGCCCAACTTAAACCCTTGGTATTACGTACAAAGCATAATGAATAGTGAATTAAATTAAATAACATTCATCCACTGGAACGGTTTCTATTCACCATGAATAGTTACACCCATAGCTGTACCCTGTCAACGGGCTAGGATCCGCATGTGGTCTCTGTGGTTGCCATCAAAGTGGTAAAGGTTTATACGACCTGATAAACGCTTCCAGTACCACCATGATCTCTATGGTTGCCATCAAAGTGGTAAAGGTTTATACGACCTGATAAACGCTTCCAGTACCACCATGATCTCTATGGTTGCCATCAAAGTGGTAAAGGTTTATACGACCTGATAAACGCTTCCAGTACCATCATGATCTGTATGGATGTCATCAAAGTGGTAAAGGTTTATACGACCTGATAAACGCTTCCAATACCACCATGATCTCTATGGTTGCCATCAAAGTGGTAAAGGTTTATACGACCTGATAAACGCTTCCAGTACCACCATGATCTCTATGGTTGCCATCAAAGTGGTAAAGGTTTATACGACCTGATAAACGCTTCCAGTACCACCATGATCTCTATGGTTGCCATCAAAGTGGTAAAGGTTTATACGACCTGATAAACGCTTCCAGTACCACCATGATCTCTATGGTTGCCATCAAAGTGGTAAAGGTTTATACGACCTGATAAACGCTTCCAGTACCACCATGATCTCTATGGTTGCCATCAAAGTGGTAAAGGTTTATACCACCATGATCCTTCTGGTTGTCATCAAAGTGGTAAATGTTATACGACCTGAGAAACGTTTGTCATATGAAAAACATACTGCGAGGAAAGGAAAATATTGAAAAATAAAAATGAAAGTTTCCACACAATAATGAAAAGTCAAATTTATTAACTTTCCTATCTCTGTTTATTTCAGTACACGTACGACCAACCTCGACTTTTTGGATTTGAGGCTTTTAATGACAACAAACCAAACACGGACGTTTAAACGAAGATGATCCTAAAGCTTAGTGTACAGCGAGCCACATCACACCAACTTGTTTCATCATCAAGGCCAGATGTAAATTCAAACAGCTCAACAACCTTTGACCTTGATGACCTCAAACGTGATCAGCTGCACGAGGATTTCAGAAAATGCACATGTCTATCGAAAACAAGAAACGCCATCTACCTTGAAGGTGTCTTATGATGTCAATAAAGGGGGAATAGAGTAGCGTAGTGGTTAAGTTGTTTGGCTGTAACCGAAAACCCGGTTCGATCCTTAGCAATTGACAGTGGTTGTGTATGAAGTATCTCGCACTCGCGTGGCTGGAAGAAAACAAACTTCGTACACTTAGGGTTGGTGGATATTGCTATGTTATTCAATATCGATAATGTGAGACGAGGCGAGTAATCTTAGATTTTTCTTAACCCGATGTAAAGAAGTGCTTAAGATCTGTAACTGAAGCGGACATAAAATATTCATGAACAGACATTGAAAGTCTAGACCTCTCACAGAGCAGAAATGATTTTGAGATTGAATTTTGGGAAACATTTACGAATTTGTGAAGGTAAGATAGCAAAGGGTTTGGGGTGTAAGTTACACCTATTGTGATAAATGAGAGTATAGAAGAATATCTGTGGCAACGAACCCGAGGTTTGGAATAAGTATATATTTGTAGTTTTGTTTGGATCATTCACGTTGGTGTTAACTAGTTAGTGCAGGAATCGGAAGTAAAAACTCCACTTAACTTTAACAGGTGCTTGATGCATTCGGCACAGAGGAACAGAACCATCACGGAAGTGGTCTGACCCGTATTGTTCCGGGAGAAGCCGAATGGTTACGGCAAGGAGCGAGTGGAGACGAATAACCCAAGATCATCTGAACCAAATGTGTATATATGTGTATAAGAGGTTTACACGCTGTAATCGTGTAACAAAGGTTTTATGTAGTTTTTACAAGCATTCTATTGTTACGTAACTGTGATCATTTGGTATACTGTGATTTTGTATGTCTGACTTGATTGACTTCAGTGTAAAGCTTCTTAGGTCTTGAGACAACACGAGGCCTAGTGTCAAGAAAGAATGGTAGTCTTTCTTGCTTAATGTACAATTTGTGGGGCAGGGTGAACGACTTGCACACAACTTACTGAGTCCGGCAGACGCTCCCAGGGGAAGGCGGCGAAGTGATGCTGACACTTAGTACTAGATAGCTGTATTGACCGGTCAATTCGTCCCTTCAAGTCCCTGAATTGCCTTTCTTCTGGTTTGTCCACGCTCTTCACGATGTCTGTCGGCTCTGCTCTATTCGCCTGTCCTGCCTGACTAACAAACTGCATCGGTCTGCGTAGGTTGGCAATTCTCATGAACATATTCTGCCTAGCTGGCTATATTTTGACGAGCTTGACACAAATTTATGTCTGACAAGTGTGCACAACAATAATGTTACATTAATACACTTTCAAAACTCCCTCAGTAAAAGCGTTAGCTGCATCAGTTGTTTGGATACAGTTTCTAGAGACAGGGAAGCCGATCTCCCTTGGTTTATCTGGATCCTACCATTCCCAGTGAAATTGTCCTGATAAATACATTACGAAACGAACGAGTTAAGAGTACGAGTTATTGCCACTCAATAAGTCCACCAACCCTCATTTTGATTGGGGGATCAAAGTCGTCAGATCTTGACTCAGGTAAATATATAGTAGAGTTAAAGATCTGCTCGAAGTAAACCTGAATATTATCGTCAATGCGAGAATGATACATTTTACGTAGGCGTGTTATAGAGATGCGTAGTTGGAGCGTCTGAATGGTGTGCGTGTAATGGGAATCGAATTGTGTGAGCACCGTGACCTAGGAACTGTGTATGCAAATAGTTTGTTTTCTTCACCGTCTCTGTGTTTACTAATAGTTACATTTGAAAGTCTCAATCAATCGATAATAACAGGGCGTGACCTGTACCTCATGATATAATTCCCGCGCCACTGTTATAATTACAAATCTGGGCCCCGTTCCTCAAAGCGATCGTAGCGCTACGACTGTTGTAAGGCTATGTTAAAGTATGGGAGTGACGATCGCCTTAGCGCTACGACCGTTTTGTGGAACGGGGCCCAGATCACGTGTTGAAAAACCACGTGACGCTTGAAATAGCACGATCATTTCAACTTCGTTTCAAGAACACGTATTGCTTAGAACGAGCATTCGACCTTGAATGGATGGTTGGTAAGTCAAATGGACAAAACAAAGACACTCCTAAACTGTCACAGACACGTATAATAGGCCTACATAGTACATACCAACCAATCAGATGTACTTGTGTATGCTGGGATGATTAAGTGCGTACGATAGACGTACTACTGTGTACGTTCGACTATTTAATTTGGGTTCCCGGAAGTCAGAGTGTCTACTCGTCCGGATACGAATTATTGTGGCGAGAGTTGACATGTCCGGTATGGACATTATAAGTTGGTCAAAGGTCACGAGGTGGACATGGGTTGATGTACCATCGATGTTTGTTTACGTTCCCTGAGCCCTGAACATAAACAAACATCGAGGGTACATCAACCCATGCACCCCTCGTGACCAGTGAACAACGTATTTATCTTATTTTGAATTGTTTGAAGCACGGGTACAAATGTTTTTGTAGCCATCGCTAGATTTTGCTGACAAGAAAAACAGATTTAGAGTTATGTCCCTTCCATCGATTTGCATTCGCAAAACATCGGTAATTTCCGTACATCGTATACGTGATTCAATGTAATTCGAGATAAAGAATTACTACCACGAAGTACAAAATGAGTTGACATTGACAGCGGGGTACATTGAAATGTTACTCGCTTGTAAGGGGGTACATTGAAAATAATAAAAGAGCGCTCAGCCAATCAGAAAGCGACATTTATGTGTGAGGTAAGATAAATTTGAATATTGTCGGTTGTCAAGTGTCCGATGCATGGATCTATGGTGACTTGTGTAGTTTAATGTAAATGCCGAATGAAGGAATATCCACATATTATGGTGTCTCTTAACTTCCACGTTCACATTATTAACTCTACTACAAAAGTGTGGATTATAGGATGCCTGTTGTTTGAAGGTCTGGCCTGGATATATATCCGCTTAATAGAGGTATACGTTCTACATTCACTGATGCCAAGTTGTCTGGTTTATTGAGGTCCGCACAAGAGAGGTTTCATTCACGGGACACAGCTTATCACATATGTGTGCAACAGGGAGCGCGCACATATAACAAGGGTGGCCAAACATGCTTGAGTTAAGAGGGGATTTTCATAATCTTGGTACCCAGATTAGGTTTCGCTTTGATTTCATGGTGTTCAAGGCAAACTCCTTACAGTGATAACCCGTTCCCGGAGCTCTCCATAGTATAATATACACAGGCACGCTGGGAAGGAGATTGTGTTTTAGGCTGGCAAGGGAGGTAACTGTATTGAGTAACGTCCCTTTTCGTTGAAATGATAGGAGTTCGGAGACCTGTTATATTGTGTAAATATGATATGATTTGATCACCAGCTACAATCAGTATCGAGATAAGGCTTCAGTAACAAAGTACAAGGAGATACCATGATATTCTACAGTTTCAATGACTCAATTGTACATAGTTTGCCAATAGTCTGAGCTGTAAATTTACTGTTAATAGGTACGTTTGTTTATAATTTGTTACGCTCATCTCGTGATCACAACTTTGTACAAATGTAAGGAATAAATGACAATAACATCTGACATCTATGTGTCTTAGTGTCCTTGATTGCCATAATAAATATTGCGGCGACCTCGACACCACATTCTCAATGTCAAAGGATCAAGAAAAACAAGCTTTCCTATTGAGGCCACTTCACGGACCACTGCTTGTTGTTTAATACCTCCCATAGAGGCCACTTCACGGACCACTGCTTGTTGTTTAATACCTCCCATAGAGGCCACTTCACGGACCACTGCTTGTTGTTTAATACCTCCCATAGAGGCCACTTCACGGACCACTGCTTGTTGTTTAATACCTCCCATTGATCCCACTTCACGGACCACTGCTTGTTTAATACCTCCCATTGAGGCCACTTCACGGACCACTGCTTGTTGTTTAATACCTCCCATTGAGGCCACTTCACGGACCACTGCTTGTTGTTTAATACCTCCCATTGAGGCCACTTCACGGACCACTGCTTGTTGTTTAATACCTCCCAATCAGCCCACTTCACGAACCACTTATTGTTGTATAACACCTCCCAATGTGCCCCTTTCACAGACCACTGCTTGTTGTTTAATATCTCCCATTGAGCCCACTTCAGGACCACTGCTTGTTGTTTAATACCTCCCAATGAGCCCACTTCACGGACCACTGCTTGTTTATACCTCCTAATGAGCCCACTTCAGGACCACTGCTTGTTGTTTAATACCTCCCAATGAGTCTACTTCACGGACCACTGCTTGTTGTTTAATACCTCCCAATGTGTCTACTTCACGGTCCACTGCTTCTTCTATAATACTTCCCAATGAGCCCACTTCACGGACCACTGCTTGTTGTTTAATACCTCCCAATGAGCCCACTTCACGGACCACTGCTTGTTGTTTAATACCTCACAATGAGCCCACTTCACGGACCACTGCTTGTTGTTTAATACCTCCCATTGAGCCCACTTCACGGACCACTGCTTGTTGTTTAATACCTCCCAATGAGGCCACTTCACGGACCACTGCTTATTTATACCTCCTAATGAGCCCACTTCAGGACCACTGCTTGTTGTTTAATACCTCCCAATGAGTCTACTTCACGGACCACTGCTTGTTGTTTAATACCTCCCAATGTGTCTACTTCACGGTCCACTGCTTCTTCTTTAATACTTCCCAATGAGTCCACTTCACGGACCACTGCTTGTTGTTTAATATCTCCCAATGAGCCCACTTCAGGACCACTGCTTGTTGTTTAATACCTCCCAGTGAGCCCACTTCACGGACCACTGCTTGTTGTTTAATACCTCCCAATGAGCCCACTTCACGGACCACTGCTTGTTGTTTAATACCTCCCAATGAGCCCACTTCACGGACCACTGCTTGTTGTTTAATACCTCCCAATGAGCCCACTTCACGGACCACTGCTTGTTGTTTAATACCTCCCAATGAGCCCACTTCAGGACCACTGCTTGTTGTTTAATACCTCCCAATGAGCCCACTTCACGGACCACTGCTTGTTGTTTAATACCTCCCATTGAGGCCACTTCTCGGACCACTCTTTGTTGTTTAATACCTCCCAATGAGCCCACTTGACAGACCACTGCTTGTTATTTAATACCTCCCACTGAGCCCACTTCACGGACCACTGCTTGTTGTTTAATACCTCTTAAAATGAGCCCACTTCACGGACCACTGCTTGTTGTTTAATACCTCCCAATGAGCCCACTTCACGGACCACTGCTTGTTGTTAAATACCTCTCAATGAGCCCACTTCACGGACCACTGCTTGTTGTTTAATACCTCCCAATGAGTTTACTTTACGGACCACTGCTTGTTGTTGAATACCTACCAATGAGCCCACTTCAGGACCACTGCTTGTTGTTTAATACCTCCAAATGATCCCACTTCACGGACCACTGCTTGTTGTTTAATACCTCCCATTGAGGCCACTTCACGGACCACTGCTTGTTGTTTAATACCTCCCAATGAGCCCACTTCACGGACCACTGCTTGTTGTTTAATACCTCTCAATGAGCCCACTTCACGGACCACTGCTTGTTGTTTAATACCTCCCATTGAGGCCACTTCACGGACCACTGCTTGTTGTTTAATACCTCCCAATGAGTCTACTTCACGGACCAGTGCTTGTTTAATACCTCCCAATGAGCCCACTTCACGGACCACTGCTTGTTGTTTAATACCTCCCAATGAGCCCACTTCACGGCATAACAAAGCATGACGTCTGACCAAAGTAGTGATTAATAGTATGAACCGCATTCAGCCTGTCGGGATCCGATCCGTGTGTTAATTTGGTAGCTATAAAGAGTAGCTTCAAACTCGTTCTTTGCATAATTCGGAATACAGAGAGTCCTTGGTGAAACATAAATCACGGTTCACGAAAAAAATAGGCATTTGTATGCGTTTGTCGTACATTCCGATGCTGTATTGCAGATGTCGAAACAGCTGCAGGTACATGGCCCCTCATCAATGCATCCTTTATTATAGGCTCTTCAGTACATGCGTGTCACTACTACCGGGGATCGATCACTTAGAAAAGTCTGTCAATGTTCGCTAAGTAAATTACCCGTGAAGATCCAGGTTAAAATTGGTAGTCAGCAGCCCATGCTTGTCGTAAGAGGTGACTAACGGGATCGGGTGCTCAGGCTCGCTGACTTGGCTGACACATGTCATCGTTTCCCAATTGCGTAGACCTATGCTCATGCTGTTGATCACTGGATTGTCTGGACCAGACTCGATTATTTACAGACCGCCGCCATATAGCTGGAATATTGCTGACTGTGGCGTTAAACTAAACTCACTCACACACCTCTCCATGAAGAAAAAGATTTCGGATGTATGCAGAAAATGTTACATCCATCTGCGCAACATTGGACAGATCAGACATCTCCTGACACAGGATGCTGCGGCTGCCTTGGTGAGAACACTGATTCTCTCACGACTTGACTATTGCAACAGCTTGTTGGTTGCAGCTTCACAAGCGTCCATCCAAAAGCTTCAGAACATATCCAGAACATAGCTGCCCGCATAGTTACTCTCCAACCAAAACATTGCCGCATCACTCCCATCCTGATGTCTCTTCACTGGTTGCCTATTGAGGCTCGCATTGACTATAAGATCCTTACACTTGCTTATCAGTCCATTCATGGTATTGCACCAGTGTATCTTCAAGAACTCCTCTCTCTTACATGCCAACAAGAACTCTGCGTTCATCCACGTCTAATATGCTCTGTGTACCAAAGTGGAACCTCAAATCATTTGGCTACAAGTCTTGCCAGAACATGGCATCGGTCAATTGGAATTCTCTCCCTGATGACCTTAAGCTGTCTCCACCCCTTGAAAACTTTCAGCATCACCTCAAAACCTTTCTCTACAAAAAGTTGTACGGACTTCAATAATGCCTTATTGATTGTTAGCGCTATGAGCATACCTGGTGTGGAGTTTGGCGCTATATAAATGGACACATTATTATTATGTTTTACAGATTAAAGACAGTATGCAGCAGAGAGAGTTCGGGTGATCCTGGCACAGTCAGGCTGGTAAGGCTCATCATCAGCTCAGGGCCCTTGCCCCCTCTACACGCAGCCCAGACAGCGAATGGGACTTCTCCCAGGAAACGCTGCCTAGTCGAACCCACCAAGGACTTTCCGGAGAATATGAAGGGCCAACACTGCAGCCTTCTGCATTACCCAGAGTGTCAGAAGGGCAGTGCTCCCGGAGGAGAACCCGGGCACTCTACTGATCTGCGCTAAGAGATCAGGAGGTACCAAACCAAGGGTACCGAGAACAATGGGGAGCCTGACGACAGTGTACTTGGGATGCAAGTGAGACATTTCAAAGGCGAGGTCCGCATATTAATCATGCTTTTCCTGAAGCTTGCCAATCACGTTGCTG